ACCTTACTATAACGAAAATGGATGTACACCTCCACCCCACAAATCCCCGGCCGGGCGTGGGGGGGTGGGGATGTCGGGGGTTTAAAATTCCACTCATCTTCAAGTGGCTAAGGTTGAGAAACACTGGGTTAATCTGTTAATCACAGACCATCTACATGGTGGCTAGGGTTGGCTAGGGTTGAGAAACACTGCTCTAAGAGGACTAAAAGCCAAGGAGCTTCTGATATTATGCCAACACACTCCCCACCCTCTATTTCCAGCACAGAGTCCTCTAGGTATTTCCTTCCCACCCACACACCCTTTAAGGGCAAACAGTGACACAGAGTCATCAGGCAGGTAGAATGTCTTCCTGTTCTTTGGAAGGGGCTACTTGCTTTGCAAAACAGATGCATTAAGCCAACTGGGGTCCATTTCCTTTTTCAACACTTTTTTTAGAAAGTTAAATTCTGTAGCCTGCAGCGGGAGATCAGTAATTGGGTTTCAGAAGAGTCCAAGGGAAGACATGCTGCTTGCTGTAACTCAGTGCCTCTCCCCCTAAGCATCATTTCTGCTTCTTTTTTCCCGCTGTCCTTCGCCGGCTGACCATCTCATCAGGCCTGGGGCTCAGTCTCAGACTAGCCAAGCACTGAAGCTCAAGACCCACGGAAGAAACTCACTACGCAGGAAAGGGGATGGAGGAACCACTTACAGGCATGGGGATCTTGGACAGCTCTTTGCCAATGCAATTCTTCATTATGCTCCAAAGGTTAAGGCTGTAGTTGGGCTTGTCTGGAATCCGACTGCGCCTCTTCTTATGGGACGCACCATCCTTGCCTGTAGCATCAAGACCACTTTGACTCTCAAATACCTGGAAAGGATAAAATCCATGATAATGACAATTCAGTGTTGGATTTCCAGCTCCCACCCACCCTTGCATGCTTGGCAGTGTAGTCTGTGAAACATCTCATTAAGCCAGTGTATTTAATGGTTTACTGAATTAATCCACAATTGAATGAGTTCCCAATTCATGCCAAACCATAAACCATGGTTTAGGAATCATAAAGACTGGGGCTCGCTCAACAAACTAACCCTAAACCAAAACCAAACAAATCACATTATGGCTTATTGTAATGCATGAACCTAGCACACAGAAGTTTGCCCCTAGTGTTAAGAAAAGGTCACATCAGAGATCTCAATATTATTTTCTTTTTCTCTTGGAAGGTGTCTGTTTGCTTGTTTGTTTAAGGGAAGGAGAAAGATAGGAAAGGGGAGGAAAAGATGGGTTCCAGGTTGTGGAAGTCAAGAACGTTTCTGAAACCTTTGGTTACAGAAGAAAGTGAAGGAAAAGGCTTCTTGAACCCCAAGACCCACCAGGAACAGTTGCAGTCCACATGAGAAAAGGCCATCAGGTCTAAAGAAATCATCAGAAGAAATGGTGAAAATACATGAAACATCTAGAAATTATGACAAAGTGAGAAAGACAGTGAAAGATCCAACAGAAGAACAACGGAAGACAAGAAATATTTCTTGGGTATCTGAAGTGAGTAGGACATAGGATCTGTTCTTGGACAGAGGTCAGGCCTAGTGTTTCAGGAGACGGTGGCCTTCCCATCACGGGCACTATCAGCAGTGGAGGAATCAGTTTCCCAATAAATGTGTACTGATTTGATCAAAGTGAGATCATCCATCCCTGAAGGCAACATACATAGATGTCTCTTTCAGAAAACAATCTGCACGGGATACAACTCCAGTATCTTCTCTTCCAGGGATGCTTCCAGAAAGGACCTAACAGCTTGTCTGAAGTTTTAGCAACTGGATTTCTGCTCAAAGAAAATCAAACAGATATTCCTCTCTACATCTGATTTTTGCTAGTTCTTCGGTGGGTATGCAAGATTAAGACAGAAGGGGAACAGGATCATTTCCTGAGTTTTGGTATGAAATTATGGAACTGGTCTTGCTTCTAGTTCCAAAATGCATCTAGTTGATCTGATGATTATCAAAAATAAGCAGGTTCCTTTCAATAACAGTTGGGGAGACTTCAGCCTCCAATCCTCATCTTATGAGTTGATATCCTCCCACTTGAGGCAGGAATTACACAAATATTACTGTACTGTCAAAAGACAAAACCAGTCCATCCCTTGGAAAATCTTAGCCCCAACTCTTATTTATTCATTTAGATATATAAACTGCCTAACTCCATCCAACTCTTATACACTGTGTCTTCATCCACTTGGCATAATTGCACCCACTAGCCTGCTCCCATTGGTTTTAGCTATAGGAAAAATGGAGGTGCCAAAAGTGTCCTCAGAAACAAAAGAAAACCTCTTTTGTTAATATTTAAGTTAATTAAATATGGATGGTGGGTTGACTTCAAATGGAAGTGATTCTGCAGAATAGGTTGGTGGGATCAGGAGCATCTGCAGAATATGTTTAAAAAAAAGTCAAGATAGCCATTACAGTGTGGTCAAAGCTCTGCTCATTTTTATGTGTCATAAACCACACAGAGAAAAAATGGGAGGAGCTCGGACCGCACCATGTGGCCACATCATGGCCATCTTGACTTTTCTGACCACACCTTGTGGATATCCCTGGTGGGGATCAAAGATGGAGCCCCCCTTCTTCAGTAACAGACAAAGAGCTTAGATGTCAACCATGCAACTAATATCTGGTCTGAAGAACCAAGTCAGAAGAGCCTTTCTGTTTCCAAGCTATCTCTTAGAAGACAGGATAATGGAGGGGGATCATTTCCTGCACCATTAAAATCCTGCAGTTCCATGCTCATTGTTAACTCCTCTGGGAACCATGACTTGTTTGGCCCATGGAGGACTATCAGACTACATTTTCTTATTATCTACAGAATTTAAGGTTTCAGGACAAGGAGCAAGAGGGTAGGGAAAGCTGGCCATCAGATGTGACTTCTTCCAGTTCCATCCATACAGTGAAAGTCAGATGTTAGTCACCCTACTTGTCTATATTCTGGCGCTGCAGAAAGTTACATGAGAATGGTGGAAGAAGAAAGAAAAGAGAGAAAACCGACATACTGTGATGGAATGGTGTTAGGAAGGCCACGCTCAGGGAGATAAGCATTTCCTTAGCCCTCAACAGGAGTGTGGGGAGTTTAAGAAGATGAGACTGGCACCTCCCTAAGGAATTCATGGTGTTGTGACTGGCTGGCTTTGGAAATTTGGGTCTGTTTTGAGGGGATTTTGGCTTGAGGTGGGAGCCAAAAAAAGCAAAAGA